CTTTATTCACTCTCAATAAAATTGTTGAAAAAATTATGAATTGAACTATAGGAAAAATTCATATGCAAAGAAAACATTCTCCATTCACTGAAAGATTGTGTTTAGATTTCAAAAATTTGAAAAAGTTCAAAACATTGTCCACCATCAATTTTATACTAAAAAACTTATTTTGTTCTGTGGAAATTTGTTTGTTGAGTTGTGTTCATGAAAAAATTTACCGTTTTTTTCGTAATTTTTTTCATTTGCTTCACAATCACTAATAAAAATTGAAATACACTGATATTAAAAAATTTCAGGATGAAATGAACAATTTCTTAAATACTGCTCATTTTTTACCCAATTTTTTCAAAAATCTTAGCTAATTTTGTTAGACTCAAATACACAATAACGCGATTTATTTGAAATTGTACAGTTTTCTCTATAAACTTTGTCAACTAGATGATACAGTTTATCTTTCTTCTGGGCAAATTTGTTCATTTACTTTCTTTCATCATCCAGTAAAATAACAATTTGTAAGAACTTTTCTAGAATTAAAGAAGACTCTGGAACCATTTATCTATTCAATAATTTCTTTGGGATTGTTCGACAAACTTTATCAAGTGAAAAAATGTTTTTTGCTATTGTTTTTTATTCATATCAATTGTCAGTTACTTTAATTAAAATTGTTTGCAAAATAATGTATCAATCACAAAAACTAGATAATAAATATGACATTTGTTTTTGTGTGGAAACTTGATTGGTTAGTTTTCTTTCCTGGATTTTTCCAGTAGAACACTCTCAAACTCAATTTTCCTAGTGGAATTGCTTTGAAATTTTCGACATGCAAAAATTTAGTATTGCGAGTTTTTTTATATTTCGATCAATTTTTACTCATTTTACACAAACTTCAAAAAATTAATAACAGCCCAATGAATTATTACAGAGGCTCTAAAAACTTCATATAGCTGTAGGAAGGTACAACCTAAACTTTCTTAGAAAGAATTCAAAAAAAAACTCAAAATATGAATCTGATTTGATAAAAAATGGACTGTTTTCTGACGGTTATGAAAAGTCGAAAATCTTTGATAGAATATCTTTTTTTCTCAAATGTATACAAGAATACCAAAAATATCACAAAAGTTGTTGAAATGCAAAAATCTTTTTATTTATTGGACAAAATATAATTTTAAAAAAGTTAATAAAACGCAAAAATTTCTTCAATTTTTGAAAAATAAGTACTTTTTCTGAAATATTGAAATAATTTCAATATTTCAATGTTTTAACAAGATGCAACAAACGTATCATGTTTCAAAGAAAATATAAAAATGTTTTTTTTTCTACAAGATGCAAAGAATGTTTAGTTTTTGGCCTTGTGTGCAAATTTTGTTGTTTTTTTAACAAAAGGTGAAAAGCGTTTCAACTTTAATTTTTGTTCATGTGCATTATTTTTCTCGGTAATGTTATATTCTGGCCAATAAAGAAGTTTTCTTAACACTTTTTTTAAAGTTCCACCTTGAACTTCTCAAACTTTCTCAAAGTTAAGTTGAAATTATAAAGCATATTTATTACAAAAGACTAAACAAATATCAAATGGCATTACGAAAAGGAGGAGTAGGTTGAAGTTTTCTTGGTTGCTGTGGTGCTGGAGCCATCATTTTTTCTGAAAACCTTCAACATCGTCAATTGCGATAGGATTCTCCGCAGCTCGATTTTCCTTCCAAGGAAAGAGGAAATCATCTACTGAATGAGCGATAAAATCTGGTGTGGTACCTCGAGATAGTCCAAACCAACCTGGCTGACTATTTCTTCAACCATATACTAGGAACCATCTAGTTCTGGGTGATGGGGACTTGCATCAGATGAGGCTCGTTAGAGGCTCATTCTCACGAACTCAAAAAGATGCTAGACATGGATTGCGATGTCAATTCGTGCCAAAAAAACTCCAGGCACCGTTTTTTTGCGCTTGGATTAGTAATAGAGCAGGCTATAACTCTACCGTTTTACGACAATTTGTTGTTTTTGCTCTGAGAAAACTAATTCGAGTGATAGAAGAAAGAGACAGAGTTTAAAAAATGATTTAGACTCATTGACATCAGTTTACTTAAAAATTAAAGATTTTTATTTAGGTGTTAGGGGTTTGTCTAGCGGTTAGAGGACTTCAATTGATTTATTTAGAATTAGCCAATCTGCGAAGTTTTTCCTTATTTGATCTGTAGTCAATTCCAATCGAAACCCAAAAAAAATTTGATAGAAAGTCGCATCCGGTCAGAAATCAAGTCCCAGTCTAAGAATTAATTCTAATCACAAGTTCATATATGTTTAAATTATAAGCCGCCGATTCCAATCACAGAACCTTTTTAAGGACTCAATTTGTCCAAATACGTTACAAAAAAAATTACACAAAAGTATTGGAAAATTGAATGACCACACTTTGTTTGCTGTAAAATTAAGAAATTTCGCAAGCCTATTTAATAAACAATTATACAAGTGGCTTTTCTGCAAGGTTTCTCAAAATTATTTTCCAAATTTTATTCGAAAATGAACATTGCATATAATCATTACTGGTTTTTGATAAAACATGTCACGTTGTTTTTTTCTATGTAGATTTGGGCGGAAAGCTTGAAGTTGATGAAGTTTTTAAAGAAAATCGCTGGAACTGTGAAAGCGAACCTAATCATGCAATTTTTGCAGTTTTGAAAACTTCTTATGAAATGGAAGAAAATAGAACTTGACAAGTGCTGGGAAATTTTGACAAATTTGCGTATCGGCTAATCATTAAAAAAAGTTTTCGAAATATTATTTACGCTTGTTTGATTATTTCTAAAAAAAAATATAAGAATTTTTCCATTGCCGAGTGTAATTTAGGCGTAAGTTTGAATCTTTGCTACTCAAAATTCGGCTCGAAAGTTAACTCAATGGTTGAGTTATGTTCCCAAAGGAAGCTTTAGTTAGTTTAAGAATACTATTATGAAAAATTTAACAGTCTAAAACTTTTTGAAAGTAGTAAGATTCCACATCCTTTCCACCGAAAAGGAAATCCCATAGGAGTAAGAAGCACGTGAATTCTACCCCAAAGTCAACAAAGTGTGTATCATGTGAGAAATTTTTTCCCAACTCATCTTCACTTTTACAACTGTGCACGAAAGACCACGGACTGAAAGCGAGGAAAACAAGTAATTCTGATGCAGATTTGAATAAATCAAGAAAAACGAGGAGGAAAGGGAACATCTACGAATTGAGTTGATGCACGTCATCTCTTCTTGACAGGCAACGAGATAGAAAATGGTCGCCGAAAGTTATTAATTTGTTCATTTTTGGAAATTGGATCCCAATATAGGTAACGAAAAAATGGATCACGTTTTTGGAAAAATTGATTGCGAAGCAAAAGAAAAAGCGTTATGTTATCTAGAAAGTAGCGTCTGTCATGAATATTTACTTTTAAAAAAAAAAACAAATTTAACTTTCACGTAATCATTAGAGCAATGGTTGTTACGCAGATGGTTGTTGATCAGAAGCAACTGTTCAAGAATTCGGTGTATACAGGATCAATTATTAAGTTATTGAGTGGGAAACAGTGTGTTAATATCCTGAATTCAGTTTTTTTCCTGCTGAATTCCTAAATTACAACAGTCAAGATTTAGAAAAATTGAATCGCAAAAACCTTTCTAATGAGAAAAAACATGGGTCAGTATAAAAAGTTATTGATTTATTGATTTGAGTTTTTATACATATCTAGAAACTGTCTATTATCGGTAAAACAAAATCTCATACGAATCCAATGTCCTGTGCGTTACGATACCATTTTGCCAGTCGTTGAGCCAACTTAAGTTTCCTGAGACCCCATAAAATTATAAAAAATAAATCTCTAATTTCAGCCAATCCAACGGCCACTTTTGATCATTTTTCCGGCTCACTTTTAAAACGTACGTTGAAATTTTTCTTAATTTTGTCGTGGAATTTTTTTCTGCTTTTTTTCTCAATTTTGTCGTGGAATTTGGAATCTGCTTTTATTGTACTGAAAAACGACATCAGTCTCCCATGCTTGCTTTTTTCCAATAAAAGCAGTCACGAAATTGTCAGTTTTTTTACGAATATAGCCGGAAATCATTTCCAACTATTTCTTGCTTGGGAAGTTTGCTTGGTAGACAATTATTGATTTCAAATTTAAATATTTTTGCGTTTCCAAGTTTAACTCAATTCCGGGTATCCTATGTTTGCCTAGACCGATGCCTCGAAAAGCAATTTTAGTTAACTATTTTGCATTTATCGTATCTGGTCGAAGTCAGCTTTCGAAAATTGAGCTTTTCTCCAAACATAAATTCATAACTTTTACTGGCCTTGGCCATATAGTGTTTCTGTTGTATTTTACTGAATTTCAATATGTATTCAATATACAAACAAATTTTAGGGGTCGCTATCTTTTAGAATCTTGCAAAAATCTAGATAGTCGACCTCCCTCTTTAAAAAGCCTAGCCAGATAATCTTCATCTTACAAGATTTTGCAATAGAATCTCAATTGCGAGAGTCTAGGAAGATCTTGCAGAATAACCCTCCTTGATCGATTAGATACTTGAATCTAGCGTTCAATTCCGCCTCTCCTGTATGTTTTTTTTCTGAAGTTTTGAAGTTCTCAATTTTTATGCTTCGATAAATTATACCGAACTGCAGAGTTGATATCTTGTTTATTTCTTTCATTACGAGGGCAAACTGTGCACTGGATAGGTTCAAAATTTTGTGTCTGTATGTTCCTGCGTTTCAGAGACAGTTCCTTAAACATGTTAAAAATATGTCGGAACGATCAAAGAGAATGGAAGAACAAAAGAAGAACAAAGGGAGCGTCTTTTTTGCGGAATCCGCTTACGATTCATAAAATACACTGTGTGGCCTCGTAATGTTCTTCAGACTAATAATGTTGATATTTCATTTTTTAAAACTAAATAAATAGTTCTACTTTGACTAGTTCTCACTCAAAGTCAAAAGCAGTTTTTTGGTTCAATATATCCGAGTGTGCTTTTGTTTAGATGACAGAAGTGAGAAAGGCCGCTGACTATTTCGTGCATGGAAAAAAACTGTTTGTCGATTTTGTGGAAAAAGAACAAGGTGTATTTCCCACAATGTTTCCGCGGGTTCCCTGTCAGCAATACATTGACAGAGCGCCAGAGCAAGGTTTTCCTGCAGCGGAAACTCAAATTAATGACAAATTTCAGCAGGATAACTATGAGTCAGAGGTGATGGTCTTTAGAGCTCTTGAACGACTGAAAGGTCAAAATTTGTTAGTTTTACATAGCGTAAAGTACACTCATTTTCAATACAGGATGTGGGAAATTGACCATAACCCCAAGAAATGCACCATATGTCAACGCACTCCCAAATGCGACGAAGGTGAAAATGATTTCATTGTAATTGGACCTAACTACATTGTGCTTATTGAAGTCAAAAATCCCAACGAAGATCTGACATATCAGAAGGAGTTACTACACAAAGCAGAGGTTCAACTGAAAAAATCAGTGTCAATAATTGAAGGCATGCTAAGAAAAAGTGACGATTCTTTGATTTCGGAAAATGTTTCTTTTCATGTTCTTCGTTTTGTTGCATTTCCTTGCTGCGATTCTAGCACTCATGAAAAGGGGGACATTCCTATTTTATGCGCACCTGAATTGGAAGACATCGAAAAATGGTGGGAGTCAAATATCATAGAGCAAACAAAAAAAGCTGAAACAAACTACAAAGGCAACTTCAATGAAGTGAAGCACGCGCTTCTGACTTTATGGGCGACAGAGCATACGATCATTAAAAAATCGCGAATGCAGATCTCAAAAGTCATTAAGGACACTGACGAAAAGCTTCGCGAAGGCCATATTACGTTTTTTAGAAATTACGGCAGTAATCCAAACATTGATAAAACAGCTGGAATTGAAACCGCCGAAATTAATGGAATCAATATTTTTAAAGTTCTTAATATTGAGTTCATAACGAAAGCACAACGTGGCATTTTTGAATTAAAAGTTCCAAAACTCGTCATAACAGGTTGCGTTGGATCTGGCAAAAGTTTACTTCTGATGGCTAGATTATTGCATAGAAAACTAACGCAAGTAAATTCAAAAATGGCTCTTCTGGTTTTCAACCAATTAAAATTAGTCGAATACGTGCAAATCTTCAAGGACGCGAAGATAGAAGTAACTGACGTAAGTGAAATGGGTTTCAATCCAGAAAAATTGCAGACCAGCGTGGTCATAATTCACTGCAGCACTATTGAAGGAGTTTCACAGATTACTGATCTGATTAAGAAGTTACCTGAAGATTTTATTGTATACATTGATGATGCTCATGCTTCAAGCACTAATTTCTCAACTCTTAATTGGGAGTCGTTAGCAGTTGACCTAAATCAAAGTCATTTGACCCGCGAAGGAGCTCCAAACTGGAACCTCGACAATTTGGAGGTCGGAAAGTTGACAGATAACTACCGTAGTACTCATGAAATAGTGTCTTATCTCGAGGAGCTCTCAGTATTTATCAACAATAAAGATGAAACTCAAAAAAACTTGATAAACTCCCCACTCGGACTCATCCATCATCCTAGCATTGGCCATTTGATTCACGGACCGCTGCTTTCAATTGATGTCTGGCGAATCCAGGATTCGAGAGAAATTCCGCAACTACTGAAGTCTCTCGTCGGGAAGTTTTACGTAGTAACCTCACGTTTCGGCGAAGAAGGCGTTACATGCAAATGCATTATTCTAGCTCCACCAGGCGATCCCGATGGAATCTTGAAGTCTTTCGGTAGAAATGAGTTCAACAGTCATTTTTGTGTTGTAGTCGATCCTAACGAACAAAACATTTACTCCACAGAGTTTGCAGCATGTCTAATACTTCTCCAATTCTCCAACCTGAACACCAGAACTTTGAGGTTGCTGTTCAATGTTCTCTCGAGGGCCAGAGTGTTTTGTCACATCAAGATTATAGTAAAAGAATTTGAAGGAAATGATATTCAAATTGACGAACTCAAAACACTCCTAAGCATTTTTAAAGGTGCAAAAGTGAGCGATCAAAAGTACATCAAACAATAACGGATTTTCAGATCAACTTTATGTTGCTAACGTCATCTCACTCAGAACTCGTGACTCTTTAATTGTTCAGGATGCTCACCCCAACCCTTTAATTGTTATCTACTTTCAGATAACCCGCAATAAATGTATTCAATGAAAACAGTTAAATTTAATGACTTATCTTGTCAAGGAAACCAAAATTGCTGCATAAACTCATTTACTTATTGGGTCAACGAAACCAAAATTGTTGCATAAAATCATTTACTTATCTTGCAAACGAAATCAAAATTGATGCATAAGTTTATTTACTTATCTTGTCAACGAAACTAAATTTGACAAATAAACTTATTGATTAACGGCGAAACCAATATTGATGCATAAACGTATTTACTTATTTTGACAGCGAAATCAAAATTGATCAAAAACAATTTCAATTCTTTCTTGTGAGTGTCGGTTAACTAGGAGAAAAACTCATTATCAAAAGCAGTCAGTTTACCCAAATCAATTATATTGTTCACAAACTCAAAAATTTCGGGCAACGATTTTGGGCCACTTTTATTGCTTTTCACTTCAAGAGCTGAAACAATGACTTTTTTCGACTCTCCCAAGACCTTAAGATAAACCTTAAGATTTTGTACTTAGTATACAATTTTGTGAGCTGCACCGTGAAGTAGATTGGCAAATAATTAAAAAATAAACCAAAAACTGATCTTCTTAACAATATCTCCCCTTCCTGAAACGGGAAGACTGTTAAGTAGATTACGTTAACTTACCACGGACCAGAAACTTAACGAGGGCTTTATTACGCTTGTTAGAACGTACGGCGTTCTCAGTAGTCCAAACATTGTTGAAACAGCTGAAATTGAAAATGCCGAAATTAATGGAATCAATAATTTTGAAATTTTTAAAATTGAGTTCATAACGAAAACACAACTTCGCATTTTTGAAAAGAAAAGTTCCAAAACTCGTCTTAACAGGCTGGGTTGCATCTGACAAAAGTTTACTTTTGATGGCTAGATTATTGTATACAAAACTAACACAAGTAAATTCAAAAATGGCTCTTCTGGTTTTCTGGTCTTCTGGACGCAAACAAAGAAGTAACTGACGTAAGTGAAGCAGGTTTTGATCCAGAAAATTTGCAGACCAGTGTGGCAGCACTATTGAAAATGTTTCACAGATTCCTGATCTGATTAAGAAGTTACCCAGAGATACTATTGTATACATTGGTGATGCTCATGCTTCAAGCTCTAATATCTCACCTCTGAATTGAGAACCGTTAGCAGTTGACCTAAATCATAGTCATTTGGCCCGCGGCGAATGAACTCCTGGGATCTCAGCAGTTTGGAACTCGAATGCTTGAGCCTCAACTACCGCAGTACTCCACAAATAGTTTTATATCTCGAGAAACTCTCAGATCATATAACGAAAGAAGATGAAAGACAGTAGACCTTGATAAACGCTCCTGCAGAACTTTTGCATTGTCCTAAAAATGGCCACTTAATTCACGGGTCACAGCTCGCCTTTGATGTCTGGCGCACCCATGATTCAAAATCAGCTCCGCAATTATTGAAACTTCTCTTCGACTAATTTTACCGTGCAGCTCACGTTTCAGCGAAGAACGCGTTACACGCGAATGCGTTATTCTAACTCCTTCAGACGATGACGATGGAATCCTGAATACCTTTGGAAGAAATCATTTCAACGGTAGTTTTTGTTTTATTGTCGATCCTAGCGAACAAAATATTTACTCCACGGAGTTTACAGCATGTCTTATACTCCTCCAATTCTCAAACCTGAACACCAGAAATTTGCGATTGCTGCTCAATGTTTTCTCATGGGCCAGAGTGTATTGTCATATTAAAATTATTGTCGAAGAATTTGAAGGCGATGCTGATCAAACAAAAAACCTCAAAATTTTCTGAGGCATTTTCAGAGTTTCCAATCCAGCAAACATACAGATGCTTTGTTTATATTTCATTCGACCTTAGGTTTTTTTAAATTCTAAATATTAAACATTATTTCATAAACTATTTAAACGTAACAATCATGATCCATTGTGTGGCCTCACGTATTGTTTTTTTGTAAATTTCATCAGATCAAATGGTCATGCCGATTTGCAGTAAATTTGACAGAAAAATAATCTTGCGCTTACTTCGTGAGTACTACTTTTTTTAGGCTATGGAAAAAAGAATATCTCTATAAGAACGATCCGTTACAAAATAGAATACGTATGTTCACCAGGAACTCTCCTATGAGTAAACCCTAGGCTGATCTCATCTGATGCAATCAATGCGGCTCAAAAAGACATACGAAACTAATCTAGCTTCAGAGCTTGGATTTTTAATTTCCAATCTCTAAAATCTCACGGCGAAAACTAACACTGCCTTGATTTTCTAGTTCAAGGAATAGAAAAAAGTCATTGTTGATAGAAGTTTCAAAAAAATAAATAACCAAAACAGATGCGTTTTTTAGTTAAATCGAGACAAATGTCAGAGGAAATCTTGAAATAGATAAAATAAGGAGAAGATAAAAAAAATAAGAACACTTTTATCCCATAACAGTCTCTCACCCACGTAGCAGCCTTTAAAATGTTTTCTTTTTTTTCGAGTTAATTTTGTCAACAAAGGAGAATATTGATTTTTCTGCAGCTTTCTATTCCAAATAAGTTTTCGAAATCAAACAAAATGACTTTTGTACCATCAAAAAGCCGGAAAAACCAGTTGACGACGCAAACTTTCTGTCATTTTTTGTGTTAGAATTGTTTTCGAATATGTAAAAAAATGTGTAAATTGTAAGAACAAGGATGAAAAATCATTTCTAAGCTTACAACGACAATTTACAAACTCAAAACTATCAAAAATATTGTTTCAACTCAAACAAAATTCCGTAAAAGTAACTTATTAATTTCTATACCCTTTACATAGCCCGCACCGAAGTTTCTAGGATGAAAATAGATTATATTGAGAAAATGTTGCCAAAAAAATTGCCAAAAATTTTGCCAATATAATCGATTATGTGTAACCAATTTAGGCAACATTTTCTATTATAATAAAAAGAAAATAGATTTTTTTCATGAAGATTATATTGTCTTATAATTCCACCAAAATGTTTTTTATGTCAACACAATCTGAACAAAATCTATTTTTTTTTCGCCCTGAAATTGCCATGAAATTGCAATAAAATCGAGTGCTTTCGCAATAAAGTTGCAATAAAATCTATTGTTTTTGCCATAAAATTGAAATAAAATCTATTGTTTTTGCCATAAAACTGCCATAAAATCGAAACAAAATCTATTGCTATCGCCATTAAATTGCAATAAAACTAGGACTCAAAAAATTGATAATGTTGTCAAAAAAGGGTTATATTGTCTGAAGAATTGATGCGTCTTAAAAGCATGCTATTTGAAAACTCAAAACAAAAGTTGAATTCAAACCAAACGACACAAATCATGGGCACAAAAACTTACTACAAAAATTTAGAAAAACATCCTGGTAAATCAGATTTTGGGCAAAAACATATGTAACAAATGAAGAAATGGGTCAACATAAATCACATTTCGAGCTAAAAAATATGCAACAGAACATGTTCGGTGCGGGAGGCTTTAGAATATGCACACTGTAATTTTTTAACATTTTCTTCCATGTTAAATCAATTAACATTCTCAATTTAACGAAAATTAAGTTTTCAAAAGCAATCAAAGCTTTTATTGGATCTATTCAAACCTTATTGCCCCCTTTGGTTTTGACTCACACTCAAGCATATAAAACGCGGAACAAGAACAACACAAGCTCGAATTTAAAAAAAAAAGTTTCATTGAAAAAAAACTCTCTTTCAATTAGAGTTATTAGAGCAAAATGTAATATTTCTGATGAGACAATTCAATTTACTCTTTCATCTTGTACAAACCTGTGCAAAAATTGTGAAATATTGAGTTTGAAAATAAGTTTTAACTATCTATTCGTGCACTAAGTGTATTCGATCTTGTGAAACGTTCAACTCATCTCCAAACTTTTTATAGCCTAAACCACTAGCACTAGGTAAGAGCAATTTAAATCACTTAACAAGAAAAAAGAATAGCAAGAATTTACCAACATTTCACTCGAACCGATATACTATCCTCACAACAGGAGATCATGATTTGCAATACTCGGTACCCAGGGCTTTAACTTAAAATTTACCAAACCTTGCACAATGACGCAGCAGTTTAAAATTCTGAACATTTGGTCACAAAGTTCTACTGCATCCCAAATCATCAAATTAAATCTATAACCAGTGACAAATATCAGACCAACCATTCACAAAAAAAAACAATTGAAATTTCACAGCGGAATTTTTGAAATTTAGTTTTAAACATCTATATTTATCTCAGAACTATAGTGTTTTTCTTTAATTTAATTCAAGCTGTTTCTTACATCTGCAATGCCATTTGGTTTTCGCATGACCATGTTGTGTGATTTTTTGTGATTGACATTGTTTTTTGGGATGGTTTGAAGCATAGCATCTTTTTGTAAAAAAAACTGTCGCGGAGAAAATTAGACTAAAAATTTCCTAAGACTTTAGTTCGCTTAGTCTATTTTACTCCGCGACAGTTTTTTTTTTACAAAAGGTTGCTTTGCTTCAAACCATCCAAAAAACAATATCAATCACAAAAACTGGAAACAAAGTTATTAGTAACAGTTTTTTCTCAAAGTCAGGGCAAAACAGATCAAAGTATGCGCCGATGTCTTCTTATTATACCAATTTAACTTTGAAAAAAAAAATTGTCCAGGATTACGTTTTTAATATAAATTTGCTATACGAGAAACTTCCAATAATTTTTTTTTGCTTCAAAACATCCAAGAAAACAATATCAATGACAAAAATCGGAAACAAAAATTTTAAAAAAGAAACAAATTTTCTCAAGCTCAAGGCATAACAGATCAAACTATGTACTTTGACTATTACTTGCAGAAGAATGAATATATATTACAGTATAGAACAGTATAGAACAGTTACTTTCCTCAGTTACTTTCCTCAGTTACGAATTGAGACCATTTGGCCGAATATTAAGAGCGCCAGAAGTAGATTTTTGAATAGGAACTGGATGTCTCAGAGCAGATTTCGAGTGATTCATGACAGTTGTATGGGAAATCATAGCCGTCCCGGTTGACCAAAGAGCTGAAATTGCATTCAGAAGTTGATCTACG